ATCGCGAGAAATCCAGTTGAACTAGAAAAGCTTGAAAAATCATCAGCCATAGGTCTATACGCTATAGAATCAAGTCACAAAATTGATTTTGACAATATTGTAATAATCCAGAAAAATTTCAGAAATCACGTCTAATATCAGAAGCACTTCATATCAAATGGAATCCAAATTGACTGAATAGGAATGATGGACTAAAACGGAATTTGACCTGGTTACATCTCCCTTCCATACTTTTACCAAAAATACGGTGTGGAATCAAGCTGTAATAAAAACAATGAAATCATAAGATCAACATGAATGTGACTGATAAGCAATTTCATTATGTAAACACACGTTGCTTTTATAATTTTACACACTTATCAAATCTAACAATCTACACCTGGTTTTGTTATCTTTATCAATTGGCCAACTTGACAACGCAAAAATGACCCCATGCTGAGGAACGATGATTAAGTTGTTATATATAAGCTGAGATTTTGTAAATTCTCGTTTAATAGCCCTTTGATACAGCTATTATCATTAAATAGCGAAACGTCAGTAAAAACAATATCGTTTTGTTTTTCATTCATTGGGAAATACAAAAAACCTTTATTGAAATGAACTTCGTCTGAACATATATAAATTAATAGTCATTCAGTTAATAACCAGTTATCTAAACAACTTAAAGAGAACTAGAGTTAATAATAAGCAAATCTGATAAGGTGGAGGTAAAGTGTTATTAGATAAAAGTCATTACGTGGGAAAGGAATCTATTTTGGATAGTCAAACTGAATTCCAATCTTCATACATTTCTTCCCATTAATAAATTTGAATAAAGCAAGAACGATAGTTGTACGTGGATAGTCTGAGCTCATCTCTTATTATTTCGTGGATTCTTCTCAACTGGTTACAACCTGAACAATACCAAAATTATAAATTAAACATCTGAACATACTTTTTTCCAACGATAAGGAGTAATTGATTGGAAATAAGAGTAAAAAGGATCGACAATTTAGAGAAGAATTGCATGACGAAGCTTAGAAACAAAAGGATATAGTTCAAAAATGTTTTGTGGGTAGAAACAACGTTTCACTAGAAACAGTATAAAAAGTAATAGGTTACGTAGCCACAGAAATACAGGCTTTTATAAAATAGACAAAAAAGGGATAGGATGAGTCATGTTTAGACGAAAATATCAAGGTTTCCGCATGCTTTTTTGTCACCAAGGCAGTGCAAGATTTATCACTGTCTCTTTCTGAGTACATAGATTTGGTTCTAGCCGTTTGATGGCGGTTGCCTTGGTTTGCTTTATTTAAATTTCAGTCCCTTGGTTTTCTAGAGATCCAAACGAAAAGCTGAAAATTTAATGACAGGCTCTCTTGGAAAGTTGCATCAGAAGGGAATAATGTCGATAACCAGGTATGAATCGATGATTCTAACAGGGACTATACTCCACGACTTTAAGATCTAGCCAAAGTGAACGGATCGGCGCTTTCTCTTCATTCAGTTTTCAATGCGTAGCTCAGTGTATTAGTGAACCGCTAAGTGGTTAGTTCACTTGTTGAGGATTGTGGACAAAGACATTATGGGACACAGAATTAATGATGTTTTGCCTTTACCTTTAAAACGTCTGGAACGAATGACAGTAATAAATTTATGATATCTATGTATGTATTCGCCTTATTGATAGGAACCAGCATAAAATAGTTTATTATCCTTTCTCACGAATTTTGTGATGGGGTTACTATATGAATCCATCATTTCTCACGCATATTGTCTGATCAGTTCACCTTTGTCTTTGTCGGATCACCAACCCACCAGAATAGTTACTGTCAGGCAATAAGAACAATCCATTCCCATGGTTGCGAGCCGACTTTATTGTGGTAAATGAAATGTATAAATATGATTTGTATCCCAATAAATATAAAGTATTTTACATTCATAGGCCAACCTTTGTCTTTTGATATTTGCGTGGCTCAGTGAAACGGACTAATAGGTGCATTAGCGTACCAGTTGAGTTCACTGACTTTATATCAATTAGCAGCGGAGAGATAACACGTATTCACTAATTTACCACTTGTTGAGATGGTTGGCTATATATATGCCAAAAAAATCAATGAAAGGCAAATGGACGTGAGAATTCCCCTGAATAGGCTAGAGGAATTACTCAAATATACACGTGGTCTTCAACAGTACTTATCGCCGACAGGTAGATGGCATTGCTAAGGGCTCATCATTAGGCCCGACCCTAGTAGTCTTCACGAGGTTTGACCTCTAGTCTACCGACATGAGTTCTTACCTTAAACTTTCTGAGCACTTGGGAAGTGTCATTAGTATTTGTGTGCTGCATATAGACAATTATAAGTAGTATACCTAGCATCGTCTTTGGAAAAGCAATGATAATTTGAGTGACAATGGAGAAGCTACTGAAGATGGAAACCTTGAGAAGAATTTAATAAGCAACAGGCAGTAATGCAAATTATACACAAATTGTGAAATCTGTGCCAGGTTAGTTCTTTAATAATTATCAGTCTTCTTCTCTTCACTTCCACATAAGACACGTACTGGTTAACTGTCTCAAGATCTATTTGTCCTTAACTTGTTACTCCATTGAACTCGCAGATAAGCAGTTCGGTCAAAGACTGATGTTTTCTGATTCTGTACTAAAACCACTTTCAGAAAATTCTTGCTACAAAGTTAATCTTAAGTTGTAACTTCATAACACTAATTTCCAACAGATTTTCCCAATATGACCTTTATTTTCACATAATAGTGAATTTTTGTAATCAGTAATACTTGAAATTGTGTCGGTAGTTCGATGGTAGAATGTTCCCCAAACACGCAGGTGGTCCGTGTTCAACTCCTGGACGATGAACTCCTATACTTCATATAGCTGGCAAAGAGGGAGGGCTGAGAAGCGTGAGGTTAGCTACTCTACTCCGTAAAAAAATCAGCACCATACCTAGTAAAACTTTAATGTCCAAGCTTGAAGTCTTTGTTCCACTCGGAAAGCAAAGGAATAGAAAAACAGTTGAAATCATTACTATCTCTATATTATGAATTAAAAGTCAATCTGAACGAAGAATATTCTTTTCAATAATTTCTCTTCAGGTTCTTACAATTATAAAATATAATATTTGTTGTCGTTACAATAAAGGCCAGTTATGCGGCAGATACATTTTTAACGTAGAATAACAGATTAGTTATGGGGTGTCAAAATAAATAGTCGCATTTGTGTGACAAACGTCGTGCTAGACTGAATTCGATTACAAAATATTGTAAAATGGGAGACAATGGTGGTGATTAGTCATAATAGATTTGTAGAGTGTGGGGTAGGAAAATTGACAAGTCAGTTCAAGGTTATAAAAGGTGTCAGGTGAGTGGCTAGTACAAAGTGGTCTATGTTAAACAGGAGATAGTAAGACTGCAATGAGAGGTTCATAATGAAATAATGAATGTGTGAAATGAAACAGCTGGAGGCATATATTGAGAAAAGAGATAATATCACTAATAATAAGTTCGGATAGTATAAATGGAAAATTCGATAGTGTTGAGAGGATGTTTGCATGAACGCTTTAAATTATGACGAAAATTAATAATAATGTTTGTAATAATAAGCAAAGGAAAAAAGCCAAGAGGGTTAAGGGGAAGGAGCACTCTTGGTGAGAAGAAGAATCATCAATCCAAGTTTGACCACGGTAGGAACAGCGTCTGGACGTGTTCTTTTTGGATACAAAGTTCCGGTTTAGTCGATCTTATTGCAACAGCTTCAGCTATGTGTAGAAGACGTAAGCGAACTGTACGTGATAACGACTTCGGAATTCGGTATATAACCCTGAAAGCTGTGTTGACATCGATATGATGTCCAGTATCAACCAAGAATATTCTTCGTTCAGATTGACTTTTAATTCATAATGTGGGAATTTTCCACACTATCAAATCTCTATATTAGATAAGCTTTCTTAAAGTGTTATATCATTATTTTATTATTACTTATGATAGATTAACTTCTGTTCTCATAGCAAGTAATGTTTTTCTTACTCTTCCTAATGCAGAAGTATTGGTTTAGCTAAAAAAAAAGTAACTAATGTGATCTAATATTTTGTTTTATTGTATATTTTATGATAAAGGCTTTAAAGCTTTCGTAGTAACTGCTAAAAGGTATTCTGCCTACGATAAGCATACATCCAACATACTAAGACGACCAAATAGGTAAAGTAATCATGCATAAAAGATACATATATATATATATATATATATATATATATATATATCCCTAATTAACGTTTGTTTGCTGTGGAAGTAATCAAACGAATGGAAAATTGAAAATTTGGTCTCAGATTCACTACTCACTAGTGATTGACTGGTTTCGAGATGGATTTTTGAATTTTTAATGTGAAATGGTGGATTTTTGGTTCCACTAATTTTGAGTGTGAAGATAGACATCGGTAGCACTATATTGCTAATAAGCAAGGCCAACGAGCAGTCAATCGCTCAAAAGGTAATTATCATTCTTATTTACTGTCAGTTTCAATATGATAAGTAGCTGTACCTGCGTGCGTGCTCACTCAAACCTATTTTTATAGTTTACTTTCATAGAATAACTTGTTTTTTAATTGTACTGAAGATGATTGCTTTTTAAAAAAATCAGACATTCACATTAGCTATTATCGGAGTGCATTTACACAGAAAAACTACAAAGTTGGGTACAAAATGTATCTCTGTTGTGAATATCATACACAATTAAATATAATAAAGAATTAATGCTGTATTGTACAAGTGGTTTTCGTCCCTAAATTTAAAATCTGTGATGGTATAATAGGATTAAAAGATATATATACGTGAATACAATTAGGATAGTGATAATAATAATAATAATAGCAATAACACGAATAATTTCAATAGCTATAGTAACAATATATGCAATTAATAATTCAGAAGACATGAAAGAAAGGAGTATAGAGAAAATATACATCAAATACTTAAAAAGACACAGAAACGAAATATTATATATAGTTAGCCTAATTTTCACATGGACATTCAGTAGACATTTTAATAGAATCATGAAACTCTAAGGGTGATTCGTTAACTGTTGCACACTGTACCACTACCTCTGAGACCTCAGGGCTATCTACACTAGAAACGCTAAGTTCCGACTCCAGTTGGTTCATTGGTTCATCAGCATTGTCAACTTCTGTTTCACAAGAATTACGGTGCGTTTCAAATCTATAGATAGACAAAAACAGTTATATTCCAGTGTTAGTTTGCAGGGATACGATCGGTTACAAGATTTCATCATGAGCTGGCATCAGTTAGAGAACCATTGGAAAACTTAGGAGTACTGGACAACTACTCGCCGATGACATTGACTAGTAGTCGCGCTATATCGTGGATTGACAGAAGTTGGAATTCATGGGCCACTGGATCGGGTCACAGTGGCTAAGTGGTCTACGAGCTCGCCTCATAACTGGAAGCTCCTGGGTTCGAGCCACGGTGGGTACGTACTGTTGAAGAGTCTTAAACCAGGGCGAAACAACTGTCTGGCAGTACACCGTGTTGGTTTTCCAATGGTCCTCTAACTGATTTCAGCCCATGATGAAATCCTGTAACCAAAAACAATTATAATTAAATTGCACGAAATTCGTTATTAAAAAACGTTCATCCTTATTCAACTAACTAAACATTATAACTCTTAGCAATAGCTTTAGACCGTACATTTTAAAGGCGATAGCAGTAGTGGAATGAACAAGAATATCTGTTAAATACCTCATATAATGAAAAGAACAGCAGCAATTAGCGTGTAAGATATCTTAACTGTAAGTAGAAACAAAGCGACAGTATCCAACTGACTTTAACTGAAGCTTTTAAAAAAAAGGGGGGGTTACGTAGAATTTTAGAAATGACACCAACTAACATATGGAAATTAAACAAAGTGTCATCCGACTTAGTCTAAATTATTGGCTATTTCAGTATGTAAGTAATTAAAAACCACTTCTTGTGGGAACCAAGGTAGAGTCATTTTGACTGATTTAGTGCTTTAGTAACATTAGGCTAACTGCAGTTGAGGTACAATTAACCTGGGAAACATAGGGTAATATTTTCTGAGATAAGAATGAATCATTAAGCTGTTTTGTATGTTGGCATGATTCTATTTCTATTATCCTCAGTTTTTGGTGTGTTCAAGCCACTGGAACTCATGTACTTCTGTACAAAATCTTTGATTTATGTGTATCCTACATACTATACATTATTAGACATGTTGGCAACATTAAACATTTACTGTATATATTCTTTAAACAATCACTGAGCTTGTGATTTTGGTTTACAATAAACGACATCAAATAGAATGTTCAAATACATATAGTATACTGTTGCTAATGCACTACTGAACTGTGGGAATATATGAGAATAATATTCCGTTGGAACACATTGTCTGTATCACACCGCCACCATACCACCTACTTCAACTCGATCAAAATAGTAGAATAAGTAACACTTCACAAATTGGGCTTAGTTTATAAATGTAATACATAAATATGCACTAGGTCAATGTGTTGTTGTGTTTATGTATGCTTGGTAGTCACTGTTGAAAGCTGGTTTGCAATTATTCAGAATCAACTACTCAGACCATTTGTCTAACTAGAACATTATTAAGACACGACCAAGCAAGTTGTTTAACATTACTAAGAGCAGAAATGAAATACGCGTATCGCAGCAATGAAAAGACAGAATGACTATACACTAACTTTGGTTACAACTTCATAAAACTCTGTCCCATTATGAGAAATTAAATCTATGCATTCGATACTTGAAATGACGCAAGTAGTGTAGGGTGAGGAAGGTATAAATGAAAAACATATATCGGTTTACTTTAAGGCTTATTATGGAGCCTGACCCTAGAAAAGTTATGGATACAACTTTAGCTGCATTACAGTTGCACAAAATCCAACCATAGCTTGACTCATAAGATATCTCTTCCCATCCTAACAATGATCAGCGATGTTGATGAACTGTTGATTAGATTAACTGGAGTACTAGGGGGATCAGAGATAGTTCCTTAAGGTTGGTCGTTAGACATCTTTATGCATAAAGCGGCAAATCCTCTGGTGATAACCACAAGAGGATCAGGTTAACTAATATAGTGTATCACCTTTAGGTATACAGCTATACGGACACTCAGTTAAGCTTGAAAAAAGTCGGGTAAATCAGGAAGATCCCCGGGGCCCCTACAAGTGTGCACTTTCAAAACCTTTAACTTTTCATGGAAAACATACATACTGGCGATCACTATTTATTACATTTCTTAACTCAAAGGCGGTAATTCGCCCCTGTTCATTGAAGGGTGTTATGGTAGAGTCTAAGTGGGCAGGGAGGAGAGACGAGGCAATTCAACTCAGTCTACTAGAACTAATAAAACTTCTCAGGAGTTTGTGGAGATTTTACACTTAAAGAAAGGATAAATAAAGGTGTTTATTCACTTATTTGTCATTACTATTATACAGTATTAACGCACGGATAGAGTTAACCTCGTATGATTTCAACCGTTCAGGATCTGAATATCTACTAGGGGAAGAGTCAGTTGACTTAGAATCAGTATATGAGGTAATTCTCTAAAGTGAAACCTAAGTATGCCGCAATATACATTCCCAAATTTTCCAATTCCACATTTGTGTTATAATGAGGCATATTTAAAAATTCCCCATATATTCATTTCGTATTGTGTGTAGACAGGATATTAAGATGGTAATGAGGAGGCTTAGGTGGAGAAGAAAACTGTCAGTTTTTTCCACATTCATGTAATGTCCAGAGTAATGAAAGTGACTATTAGATTGGTAAATCGCTGTATTATATTGTACATATATTAGAGTAGAGCCATAGACGAGGATCTTTATTTGAAAATTAAATATTACTTTGCTCAATCATTTTGTCTTCTAAATGTCTAAATAAGAATTCTGCTATATTGAATTATTGAACAACTTCGTATTTCACTTCCTGTTATCTTTCAATTACATGAAATACATGGAATAAGCTGTTACAAAGATTGCCAAGTTCCACAGTCAGCCCAATGTTTAGATTAGTAAAATACCAATATTCAAAGTCAAGCCAACCGTCGACGAGGTGAAATTATGATTGAGAGGAAAAAGGATCAAAGTGGACCGTTATTTTCAACTGCATAAACACGTATATATCGACATAAATATTGGTGATTCGGTGATCGCAAATTCTGTAGGTTACATACTGCTACAACATGGTATGAACAGTTGGAAATCACCTATACTAAGTAGTATGGGTTGTTTGTGAGACTAGACTAGCAGTTATGTCTTCGTTGGCTCACGTTGTAGTCTATTTTTTAACAAACGACTAGGTAGAAAGTTGAGAGCTACAATTCAATGAAAAAGAAACTGTTTCATATTAAATTCGCGCTAGTTGACACTCATCAGTGAGGCCGGAAATTCGGAGACACTCACTTCCTTTTAGTAATTAAGACAAGTTTTAGTGGGAGCTGAAGTTTCACTTTATTGCTAGACTATTCAGTTCCTGTTTGAAATATGTAGGACTTCGTGATATATATAGTAGTCGAACTATGAGTACAAAAATAATAATTACTACTTTTGGTGTAGTACTCACCTAGAGTGAACATCATCGCCCACAAATATACGTGAACAATTAGGACAACAAAAGGCTAAAATCATTACGCCACTTCGATCAGCTAAAACTTCAGTCTCTAGAATCAATTTTTTAATATCATCGGATGAATATTCTTCATCGTTGAACAGAATCGGACAAGAGAATTCGTGATTTAGTGAATTGTTGGCAGACGCATGCAACTGACGCAGACGAGGTGAAGAGAAATAGGCTTTGCAAGATTTTGTTTCTTCATGACTAACAGGGTTAGCATCGTTTATTATTGATGTATCTTGAGACAACTTCTCAGCACGTGGACATCTCAAGACATTTTGCAAGAAGTCATCTTGATGTAGAGCGCGTAAATGTCCAATCAAATCGATTCGGCCACCTGACCCAAAGAAAACCCTACCACAGGCTTGGCAACCAAGCTGTTCAATTTCTGTCTCCGGATTCGAGTGTTCCTAAAATGTAAAATTATAAAATGGCATTTAAATAAAGGTGATACTGATAGCATATTTCCAAGTGTGAAAAACTGATTAAATGAAACTTGAATTCATAGTATTTTTTATGCGTCTGTATCCATAAGTCTTTTTCTAACCCTCCATGCATTATCACATGAATTAACCGTTTTAAAATAACTTTGTTAAAAAGTATTATTTTGTCAGGTTTGTGTGCATCTGCTTAATTTTAAAGTAGATTCCTTCACAAACCACTGGAAACCGAGGAGAACATTTGCTGTGTTCTATATTCTGTTAAAAAGTACCACAAAATTATTCGTTTCACTGAGAATTTTTGAGATGGACTTCCTTGAATTCTATCACAGATGGAGAGTACATAGACATACAAGGTATCTTCTAGTAGTCCTCCGATCGAAAACTTATTAAAAAAAGGGGAGGTATTAGGACAAACAAGCTTCTCTGTTAGCCGTGAAGTCCTGATTTATGCATGCATTGACATGACAACCTCATTGTACAGCTTCTGATTCGTTTATCTGTGACTTAAATCCCTGAGGATTTGCGATCTTAAGTATCTAATCAGATTTGTTGGCGAAGTTAAAGTATCATAGCCAAAGCCAAGCCCTTTCAAAAGTTGACCTTCAGGACCCAATCAAATATAGGGAATGCTACGAAAGGTCATTCCAAATCAAATCATACCTACCTTTTTGGACTTGGAGAAGGTATATACAGTATTCCACTTATTCTCTAGGTACTTTGTCTGTAAATCTACACTGTTAGATAGGTTGTAGGTTTTTAGATTAAGATTTAGGGTCTAGGGTTAAGGTTAGGACTGGGATTATGGTTAGGAGTAGGTTAAAGAACAGTGTCAGAAATATCAATAGATCTCAAAGTAGCATGACCTACAGTCACCTTGATGAATGCGTCTATCGCACGTGGTATGATTTCTTTATAGATCATCTCTGTAGCGACTGGGAGACATTATTACAACACATAAGGGACAACTATATGGTATAATATCATGTTTACAATGGTTTTTAGCGCATTTTTCAACGATTATGGCAACTGTTTTGCATCTGAATTATGATTGTTTGTCCAAAGTCACTGTGGTTTTAACTGTCATAGTTTAACTTCGCCGATTAGTTTATTTATTCATGAGTTAAATTCCTTGGGTTTTGTAAATATGATATACTACATATTTTGTCTAGTAAACGTGGTTGCGGTAGTTGTTGTCGTTTTTCTAGTCTGAATTTTGTGTCTATCCTAGTTTTGTGTCTTGAGGAACATTCTAGTCAAGTAAGGCGAACTCGACAATCCATTAACACTCCGTCATGAGAAAGTCTCAGTGACTGGTGCAGTCTGTTAAGTTTGGTTTGATAAAAATCCCTTACTGAAAACACCAAATAACGAGAAAATACAGTGAATTGAAGTCGAAGATCACTAATAACTGAAATCCAGTTTAATGACTGGAAGCTAACATGCCAGAATTTTAACCAGAATCCCACTTTGAAATAGAAAGAATGGCATTTTTAAAAGCCGGAATAGCTCATCTTATTTATGCGAATTACTGTACCATGTGAGGTCATATATATAATCACTCCCTTGTGTAGAGACTATTTTAAATAATATACAGCTATTCGCACTGTATCTAGTATACATGAGGTGAATATGTATGGAAAATCCTTCTTACTTTCTAAGGGACATGCATGCAAATTACACTTTGAAACGTGTTCTAGCAGCACGTTTATAAATAGTGATCACATGGAGGTAAGATCTTTATGCATTCATTCTCTCTATGACCACGTTGCAGTATTCTTCGTGATTTGACGTTGAGGCTAAATGATTAACGCCTAAGAAATTCACAGAGACAGTAAAGGAAGATGTACCATGCACTTAGTAACCCACAAAAATGATAATAATCACAATAATAACAAGAAATGACCACAACACTTACTAGTTCTAAATGTAGCTGAAGTTCCTTTAGGTTGTCAACTTCAACATGACATTGGCGACAACATGCCGCAGCTGGTGCACCACTGATAGCACTTAACACACGCTCAAACTCACTAGTTGCTTGTACATCACTTGGACGTGTTGCAGAATCATTATGGATTTCAGATTCACCAAGTATAGAAAGTTTAAGTTTCGCTTTTGAATTTTTTGGCTGAACACGCGGACGACGTGTTGTATTGGAATTCTTCTTTTGACTTGAATTAGCTTTAGTTTTATTTATTCTAGTCTTTAGAGCTACTTCGGGATCTGTAACAAGCAAGAAAAGGTGAAGAAAAACGGTTGGTTGAAAATTACGAACAGACGTGGATAAACAAACCAAAAGGTGTACATTGAAAAGTTGTATTTATTTTAGGCGACAACTACTGAAAGCTAAGATCCTTATTGTAGACACACGGGTTACGTCTAAGAAGTCGTCAGCATAACGGTTTGAAAACTGACCGAGGATAGGTTATAAAGGACTCAAGCTTTATGGAAAATTGAGCCATGGCTGAGGTTTAAATGTATATTTGTGTTGCAAGCAGGTTTGGGAGGAACACCAAAAACAGCTTATTAGAATTGCAATTCGCATTCTAAGGCTTTCCTGCTTTTCACCATGAAGTTTGAAATTAAAAACTTCGTTATACCACTTCCTCAACTTAAAAATGGCACAGGTGGACAACTTTGACTACCAATTCATGGTTGCCTCAGAGCTCTTATATTACCCTCCGGCTTTTCAACTAATTGGTTCTGCCTCTCTTCGAGGTAGTTTGAGACTTTCGAGAAGCAAGTCTAGATGTATGTCAGTTTCTGGGGACGTATATTTGAGCTATTGTATCTGATTTTTATATTTGGCTCACTTCTTCTTCCTTGGAAGGTTATTGCCAATGTAAACAGTATTACCTTGCCAGAAATACTCCCACAGGAGTCCTCTGTTGAGCTAGTTGTGATGGTAGCACTGCATGAGTACGACGCGTCTGTTCTATTGATTTCAGTCGGGTGTTTTTATTACTGCCGTTTGGTTTTCGGTGTTTTTCCTTCTTTGGCCTTTAATGTAGGTCTCCTAAAAGTGTTTGCAAATCTGTTTTCATAGGTGTTGGACTAAAGATAGTATGGTGAGATCAAACATGTTATACACCATTTTTCAGAATTCTTGAAATACTTCCACCGTGAATTGGATGCTGCCATTAAATACAATTTTTTCTAGAATGATATGACACGCCAAAATTTTAGTGAGAGCTATTATGGATCGGCTATTAGAGCCTCAGAACAGTTTCAATAAACCTCCTCAAGAATGGAATAACACTCCATAACCTACCTATGCAGTTAAATTGACTGATAATCGAGAGCATGGTTCTGAGAGCTTGCGGGGTGGAATTTGAGTGGCAGCTTTATATGAATGGCACTGATTAACAATATTGATGCTGGTGAAAAGTTTTGTACGAATCTCATAGCTTTTTGCAAGGTATCAAAATGCCACTGTGGATTACCCTAGTTTCGCTCCACTGAGTGGTGCTGTATGTTAAAAAACTCTACCTGTCGATGTCTAGAAACAACTAATACTCGCATAGTAAACGTCGTATACGTTAGTGCAAACAGCTGAATGACTCTTGAAATACATACATCAAAATAACGCTATCACGAACACAAATAAGTGCGTATCCAGTGTGATGATATGAAAAGGACAATAACGTATTATAATTTGATATGACAGAAGCATGAACACTTCAGACGATTCAACTACAATTGAGGCTTGACAACGGTAAGGGGTAGCGCCGTAAATCATGTGGACTTGGGAAGCCATAGGTTTTAACTGTCACTTCATATCATGATTCCAGTTAAAAATCAAATATTCGCCGTTAAAGCATGAGATAGTGATTTCACCAAAAGGAAAGCTGTTCGGTGCCAATTGTTTGTGCCTGATTCTTTAGTAAATGCTGACTGATTCCTGATGACATCCACCTTGGAAACACTTAAATCATTACTTAACAAAATGACTGGGTAACCATTTCACAAGCCCTCCTGTTAGAATGCATAATGGTAGTTACTAACCTGTCGTCTTTGGTTGAGAATCACTACACGGAGTGATTGTCACATTTTGTTGAAGTTTTTTATGAACTCGACTTATGTGAAGCTGAAGAACAACTGGATCTTGGAAAGCGACGAGATGACATTCTGGGCATTCAATTGGTTCACAATCTAATAGATCTGATGGGCCATATCTAACTGTATCAAAATCAGAATCATGCTGAAGTGCCGCATGCCGACGTAATGCAATATAAAGGGGGTAAGCCACTCCACATATCTGTAAAGAAAAGTATGTATGCAAATAACTCAAACTGGTAAAAAATCTTACTATGTTATATTCCCATTACATAGTGATTCCCAGTCACACTATTGTTTCAATGTGTCATAAATCTCGATTACAACTTCAACTTATTATATGTACAATTTGAAAAAAAACTTATCACTTGTCTGCTTTATGAAGGGTCGACTTTTAGTGTTTATATATTTACAAACAACCTGCCATAGACTATGCATTGACTTTTAGGAAATTTAATAGCTATTAACCGTAAACCAACACTTATATATCAATCTTGAGAGACTGGAGTAACAAGAACAAATTACACATTCCGAGTTACAGCCTCCCTTCAAAAGCAAGGCTATTTGAAATAGAAGTATTGAGAGAAGCTGAAGCTGTCCAGACCTAAATGTCCCACCATTATGTTAAGTATTTAATCATGTGTGGAAGTGTAGATTCCACAGCTGGGGTCCTCGAAATCCTCTGATTCAAGCCTTGAAAATTCTCAGCAGTGTAGTGTAGAAAAGTTCAGTAGTGTAGAATATTAAGGGGAAATATAAAATACAACTTTACTGACATCATATAAAGGTCAAAGAAAGGAATGAAAGTGTTAAATATGAAGAAGTGGAGTTATTATACTTTATAAAAGACATTTCACCCACACGTTATATGACAGGGTTTTCATACAGCTCCTTCTCAAGCTATCCTTAGATTCCTCAACACTGTTAATTGATTCACTGTAAAATGTATGATTCGATATTTATAATATTGTTAAACGACCTTGAAATAGTCCCAGCATTTCATTAAATAAACTGGTCCGAACTTCTTCAGGGAAATAATCAATTTTTAGTTGTTAAATATTATATATATATATATATATATATATATAAAACTTTAAATCAATCTTCAAACAGTCGAAACTCATGATACGACAATAGACAACTTGATACCTGACAGGGAAAAACTAGTTCACCATTATGAGACGATTGGATATGTTCATCCCTTTCTCGAAGACTTGACAGTGCATTATCTCCACACAATGGACACACAAATAAACGACCAGGAGTTGACTTTTTTTGACCGCTACGTGGTGGAGGCGGTGGAATAGTAAGCGGGATGTCGAAAAATGTTTCCTCCTTAAAATTTGGCTGTTCTAGAATGGTTTCTAGCTTCGATTTCTGTTTCGTCGAAGATTTAACATCGGTACAATCTGTGGTCTGACAGTAGGTATTACTTTCAAGAGTATTCGACGCGACATCTGTTTCCTTATAACAAATAAAATAAACAATAAATACCGAATAAAGTGACTGTCAGTTGTGCGTTAAGATAACAACTTAAGACTAGGATAAGAAAGGTTGATTTAGAAATCAGACCCAATATCATTGAGAATTCATCCAAAATAACGGAAAAGCTTTCTAATGGGAATCCTTAGTTCTTTAATTAAGCGAAGGTAGGATATATCAGATCAAGAGAGTAGAGTTCTGCTAAGTACAGGTATAATAAGATGTATCTAGGAATGCATTTTTCTCAAAACGAACACCTTATTTGCACATTCAAATCACACTTTACACTGTTTTGTAAATTTGACATAAGTGTTGATTTAAACTGAATGCAGAAATCATACGCACAGTAGTGTAAATGCTAACTGAGTGTCATTTGTTTGGTTCCCTTACTTCACTTACGCTTTATATTAGTACACCCTCACACTATCAACATATGACAAAAGTATTTCAAGGTTGTACGATGAGCACCAAAGACAATAAACATGTATTTGTAATTTGTCACATAACTTTCAACAGCTAACAAATAAGTGAACTGAAACGTCTTGTTACTCAACTAAGTCACCGAATTACATACTTCATCACTATTTTAAGTGAGTTAAGTAACTACATTGGTTACCATGGTCAACTTGTGTAAAAATTGTAACACCAAATAGTATATACACTTTTGAATGCTGAATCAGAATGATTGGCTAAAAATTTAATTTCGGTAATCATTGCCAAAATATATACATTATATAGATTCATCGTTACAATTAAGGTTAAAATATACACCTGCTTTTCGTCCCGTTCAAATTACTGTGATGTTTTTATCTTCATTTGTACCTGTGAGTGCTGAAGGAATATGTGAAAAAAATATGGGGATTTGTTTGAACATGCGACAGATTAGGTGCTTGAGTGCAACACCCATGTATCACATTACAGAGCATGTAACACACTTATTCAAGCAATATAAGAGAGCACCGGAAAGTAACCACATATATGATTCGGATAAGAAAAACTGAATTTGGTAGGAATCGAAGGTACTCATTATGAAGCCATAATTGCTAATACACTACAGAAGAATAGTATTCTCCTCTCAGAAAATGCATCTGCATTTCTAAAGACAGTCATGAGAGAATTAGACTTCAATAACTGAGATCGTCACTGTCATCAAACGGCAACATAAGTGAAAATTAAGTCAAATGAGAGAGACGGTTATATAAGTCTTTCCATCATCTCACCTCAATGTGCTTGTTGAATACATCACGCAGAGAAATAGTATTATTTACTGGATGACGTTTCGAACACAATTTATTGTGCATAATCACATCGCCAATTATAACCACACAACTTCAAAACTTTCGTTTCATAGTTTTCTTTATCCTTTCCCATTCGTCGTAGCGGTAGTAGGATTTTCCAGATATCAGGGTGAACAGGTGTTGAATCATCCCTATTACACGTATTCTCTTCAGTTGATTCGATAAATAAAGCTTCCGATATCAATCTCTCCCTCCACTCTGTCACATTAGATTTTAGAACTGTCATCTTATGCCATCATCCTATTGTATGGTTGTGTATAATTGCATGTAGTGAGTGCTATAGCTCAACTAACTATTCTCCAAATTTCTTACCTTATTCTGGTCAAGTAATCGAGATTTTGCTGCCAGGTTTTTGTGCTCCGCTAGTCAGACTGACCTTGTTCTACTACTTTGACCTATATATATCAGCTAACGATCAATCCAGCAGGGTATTAGATAAACTAAATTCTTTTGTTTAATTGACTCCACAGGATTGATCCTCTAACCGAAAAAGCTTGTTTCTAATTGAGTTAGCGGGCTTGAGTGCCATTTTATTCCTGCCTGCAATGTTATGAATTCTCCAATATCACCAAAATCCCCGATTGTTGCAGATATATTCACGGATAGGTGGGAAAACTTACCAATTGAAACGTTCAGCATCATCCGAAAAGTATGGTGGAGGTATGTAGACGACACACTCACCGTACTTAGAACAGAAGATATACATAAATTTTTCCAAAGCATCAACTTGAAGGTGGAGGCGATTCAATTCACTTATGAATTGGAAAATCAGGAAAGGGAGCTTCCAATGTTAGATTGTAACGTGAAAAGGAAGTTAAACACTGGTGTTTGCAGGAAACCAACGCATTCGAACCGATATTCGGATTTCCGACTATGTCAGTAAAAATATAATTGGTGGAAAGTGTCCAAGTAACTGGGCACAAAAACTAAGTAGTACCACGGAAAACCGAGGACAGGGGCTGAGGCGTTTAAGAGAAGCCTTGAAACTTAATTATTACCTTGATAAATTAATCAGGAAGTATGTGGGAAAATGTAGAATAAAATTAATAATAATAGTAGTGACAGTGGTAATAATATTATTAATGACAACATGCATGTCAAACATGCACAGGATAATGACAAGACCAGCAATAGGGAATACAAATCATCGGTAGTACTGTGGTGAGAGCTGGCTGCTAGCCAAAGTTGGTAGATAGTAATGTACGTCAATGTTTATGTCCCCAATATTGGTCGTGAGAAAAATGAGAACAAAGACTTTGCGTAGGCGGATACAGTTAGCATATTGATATAAGTATAATCATATCATATGATTATGAGCAATAGTTTGTGCTCGAAACGTCATCAGTTAATATAACTGTACTACACTGTGTGATTTATCAAAATAAAATCTTATCCATTATGGAACAGTTAGCATATATATGATCTGACGTTCAAGAAACAGCCACAAAGAGATGAGAGATTAACTTTCAATGAGAAATAACCAATCAGAGGACTGTGTTTTTCTGCTAAAAATAATCTATAATGAATCTATGTTGATTTCCTTAATAAACGATCTGTTGCCTGGCCCTTGTCTTCTGTTGTTACAGTACTTCCATACAAAGAAGGAACCTCAGATATATTACGGGGAATTCCTAACAATGCAGGAATAAAAGTGACATTCAAACTGCCCACATACTCAGTTAGAAACAAGATTTTTCGGTTAGAGGATCAATCCTGTGGAGTCAATTAAACAAAAGAATTTAGTTTATCTAATACCCTGCTGGATTGATCGTTAGCTGATATATATAGGTCAAAGTAGTAGAACAAGGTCAGTCTGACTAGCGGAGCACAAAAACCTGGCAGCAAAATCTCGATTACTTGACCAGAATAAGGTAAGAAATTTGGAGAATAGTTAGTTGAGCTATAGCACTCACTACATGCAATTATACACAACCATACAATAGGATGATGGCATAAGATGACAGTTCTAAAATCTAATGTGACAGAGTGGAGGGAGAGATTGATATCGGAAGCTTTATTTATCGAATCAACTGAAGAGAATACGTGTAATAGGGATGATTCAACACCTGTTCACCCTGATATCTGGAAAATCCTACTACCGCTACGACGAATGGGAAAGGATAAAGAAAACTATGAAACGAAAGTTTTGAAGTTGTGTGGTTATAATTGGCGATGTGATTATGCACAATAAATTGTGTTCGAAACGTCATCCAGTAAATAATACTGTTTCACTGTGTCACATATCTAATAAAAAAATTCATATGGAGCTACATACTTCCACAGTGCGCAAGTGTTACACATACTTTTAAAAGCGCCATCTTATCGGTATTTTGGTCTCGTTGGGAAACTTACTAGTCAGAGGGAAGTCAATAGTTAATATTTACCAGGTAATATAGTAACAGTCGCTGTGCATTAGTCAAACGGAGTAAAGATCCAAATTTTCCCTGTTAAAGTAAAAGATTGCACAATCGATTTTCTTCGTGTGTCGGGGGAGCATTACATCGAAACTACGTGCACATTTGCAAATATGTGCATGTTGATAACTTTATCTGGTAGCTAAAAGTAGATCTTGGTAAGAGGATTGGACTTTAGACCCATAATCAACTAGTTTAAAGCTGAGTGCTAAAACCCGAAAGTAACAGCTCCACAGTTCGTGTTCTTGTATGCCAACAATGCGAGCTTAAAATACTAATCGATTGTTGAGGATAAGATAAGTAGGAGTGAGGTAAGAAATCAATATCTGTTGGTTAGATTGGTATTGAGAGATGAGTGTTTACATCGGCGACTCACATCTGCATGAGAACTTGACTTTACATTTGACATGAAGCCATCCAAAAGTAGGTTGTAACTTCCTAACACTTTCCTAATTGTCTGAAATGAGATTACCCAAAATTGGGAACTCTGACTTGAGCACCACAACGGTGCCCTGCAAACTTATTTGTACATGGATGATTTGTAATAAATTCATCATGAGAAAACTATTTCCTGAAATGCAATATTTGATTTCATTCATAGGACACTGAATTAATAGTCATAAACAAATTATACGAGAACAAATATACGAAGAAATTCTCTTCAGATATGTACTTTAAGGTAGTTTTGACAAATAATACAAATGACCTGAAACAAAACATAAAGGGAGTACTCACACGGGATGTATTGCCACTAGTATATCGATGAAAACGTAACGGTGAACTTGTAACTCCAGAATTATCGCTAAATCCACGTACATTTGGAAAGGATTGAGCAAATGTTGCGCTGATACGTTCTGCTTCTTGTAATGCTTTATACTTTTCCAATACAGACAGACAAGCCTCTTCGGATAGACGTGTTAGGTGAACTTGACCACCGTTAGCGGAACATCTACTCAGATGAGTTTCTAAAGATGTTGGTGGTTGTGCTGCGTTGTTTGCACGTAAGACAAATGTACACCAACCGCATCCCAAACAAGTAACAACTCGATGAGGAAGCTGATTTTTTCGCATATGCGCTAAGGAGGCTATACATCCAAATAAAAGTTGTTCAAGCTACTATTAATATAAGGTTTAGAACAAATTGTAAAAATTGAATGTTATCTCAAAAACTGTGTATATGTTCACAGTCTTGGCTACAAAGAGAAATCACGATATCACTAGCTGCCCAAATATAGTAGGAGATGAAGGGATGTAACGTGTAACTTATTGGTTAAAGGTCAGGTTCTCAAACCAAAGAAGTGCAACATAAATAAAAAAGCAATTATCTTACCAACTGCATCCAAAAATAACTTTGCATTACGGAAATCGAATGTCAGCACAGACTGTCATTTTTCATGTAGTGAATAAAAACGTATGTGGCAATAATCATCTATTGATGGCTTTGAAATTTTCGGTCAACAAAAATATTCAAATTGTGATTGCATAATAATAAACTAGTTATCTCTACTAAGTGCTGGGAATATATTTACAAACATTATAGATTAAAATCCATTAATAGCATCAAGACAGTGGCCATTATCGACTACTGCAAATCGGAAATCAAAAAGCATACTGTTGAATCACACCTGTTTGAGTTTGTGACAAAATCTAGTACAGTGCAGAGTAAAGTGTTTTCTAAGAATACAAGACAAATTCATTAAATTAAGAATTAGGTTATGATATTTCATGAACTATTGGGACGAACGAATAGAATAAGGTACGTCAAATGGAAATGCATACTATTGAAGAGTCCAAAACTATGACAAATCAGTAGTCCGCTACTCCCAGGTGTTCCAATGGTTCACTAACTGATGTCAGCTCATAATGAAATCCTCCAGCCAATCAAAACAAAAATCCCTACAAAACCAATACTCAAATATTTTGTTTTGTAGTGTAATGGAATGCTTCAGGTAAACGAAGTAGTCAATGCACATACAAATCGCTGTATACAATTAACAAAGTAATCCATTGTGATGAACGCAACACGAACATGCTCACAACTTCAATGAGAACGCTCAGTTTGTTGAACAAATCAGTCATTCACTTAACTAAATTAAATAAATGAATCCTCATGGAGAACATTTTCAATTAAGTAAACCGAGTAAGTAATGTATGAGTGATAATGGCATTGTGTAATTTAATGGTGCCTGGGTGTTGGAACTCACACAGATAAGATGGTATTTTACACCTACGGTACACAACTTAAGATTATTGTCTCCAGCAGAGGTTCCAGCCTTACAGAACTCCATATAGTAAGTCCAAACTGGTAGCTAGTCGTCAGAATCATTTTCTCGTATAGGATGTAGTTAAGTAAATATATGCTGACAGATGAATTCCGTTGGAGTAATCGTGGCCATTTCTACGAGCATATCCGCCTGTAGTAGTGCTACTAAACCATCTGACAGAAGGAACACCAAACAGCGATCATAACAGATGAAAATTTCGGCAATCTAAAACTAACTTTTCTTGAAAACGATTGAATGGTAGTGGCATTTCAACAACTACGAAAAGTAAATACACGAACAAAATAAGTCACTGTGAAATCGTGTATTGAATCAAGCCCTAGACTTCCATTAGTTTATCAAGGTAAGATAAGAGGAAACTGGGGCACATGGAAACAAAAATATCACCCATGCCCAAAAAGGCTTGGAGGGCTTTCTACCCTCCACAACTGACGTCTCTTAAATGTAGCAGCCTAAGACTAATAATAATAAGAAACTACCTAATTATACTAATTTGCATATTTTACCATCCCTATAAGTACTTAGTGAGGAGAAACCAACTTCTTTGACAATGGAATGGTAATGACAGTGCAAGATGACTAGACTTCTAGCTGAAACAATAAAAAAACAGTCCACTCTTTCTGAATCTGACTTGTAACTTCCATTTAGGCTCAAATAAAATCCTATTAAAACTGTTTAAGCAACCATTATCAATGAATGACTGTGTCAAGTATATACATGGTCTCATACGAACGTAATTTTAACCTGTCAATGATGGGAGGCATAAACGTAAGAGGTGTTTCAGAGAGCGACCCTGACACCCTTATTCTTGTGGCAACTTTCGTCCTTCTCAACCACCTCACTTTTTTCCGATATCGAAGTACGAAAGCCAAGAAATGAATAACAACATTTAACCCGTTCAAAAAGACTCTTTGTGACAAAAACCCTGGATAACAGTGAATGGCCTGAAATCCAATGCTTTGAAATGCAACGTAGTGCTTCTGACTGGAGCTTCGATAAATGGATATCAGGATGATATATGACATGCTTTACTGGATGCTTGGAATGACATTGTTTTTAAGTGATCGTCGAACTATCACATTCAGCTATATTAATTCAACTATGAGTCCTTCAAATTAAATTAACTCTATACAATGTTTCACTTTTGTCGTATTGTGTTTAGGAACAGAGAATTACCATTTCGAGAACCTACTGAAAGGAACCTTTAAAAAGGAGAATTTTGTTAAAGTCCTTACTGATGTTTACTTATTGAAAACTGAGTCAAAGGCATAATATTTACTTTCGACATTTCATATTCCGCATAATGAAGCGAAGTAATGAACCTGCAAAAGTCAGAGAGCGGAAACAGACCACAGACTTTAAAGACAATATTATCACATCTTCTAGGAAAATGGCTTAAACCTAAACTTTACTAACTGAATAGATACTGGTACAAGTTACTGATGAATAGTAGCAAAAGCAAAGGCTATTTGTACTTCTCGTGTAGGTAGGTCAAAGCCTTCGGACTGACGTGACTTGTTTCAGATTTTCTGCGTTTTCAACTAAATAACTGTCACCACTTTAGTTTTCTTAGGGAACTATAGAGTACGGAAACAAAATGACTACTTAATTGCCCACATTCTAGGCTTTTCAATTACGGGATAGAATTTATAAACATACTTGTACATAGGCATCAGACAAAAAAATGTCACTACCTGGTGATGGCCTCCATGGTATCTTATGTATTAGAATTACATGCGAAACCAAATCTTCTATTTTATTGGATCTGATAACATCCATACAGTAGCTACATACGAACGACTTGACATCTGGATGAAAGTTATGCAAATGCAAATTGAATGAATGAATATGGAAAGGTGCATCATTTGGCTGGTTTATATTGTGTGAGCAGAATGGGCACCCTGCTAAATGTTCACATACATCGTCCTCTTTCTTGCAGATCTTAAGATGGTCAGAAAGACGAGATCCAGCTTCATAGGTTTTACCACATTCCCAGCACTGCCATAATTTTTCATCAGTGTGTGAACGCTTTGCAGGTACCATGTCGTTTTTATCATCTTGAAAATCGATCTTTGGTATCTTAATTGTGTCAGGTGATTTTAATATGGAATACAGTTTGCTACAAGTAGACATATCCAAAATATATTACGCAGTGCGATGGAGTATAATCAAACAACATACATGGGAATAATTTTGAAGTTGCGAAACTGGTATACGGGTATAATATTGAAAGGATATGCTATGCATAGTAAAATAATTGGTAAATTTGTCCCAATAATTATCACTAGGTAGAATGTAGGCAATCCATGTTTCATTCCTGCTTATCAATATCCAATTATGGTGGTTTCCATTCGTTTGTGACTTTGACTCTTCTTTCAGGTTTTAGCAGTAGGTAATTGCCCAGAATTATTGTCCACAGCATTCATCACTGAGCATTGGATGTTTTAGTCGATTTGTTTAGCTGAAGGCTTATGGTCGAGCATCCACACCATTTGGCTCGCCATCGTGTTACGTTCGTTCGTTGGTCCGTGCACGATTCCTAGATAGTTGAGCAATCATCTCGCACTCCGATTTGGTCCAGAAATATGATTCGTTATTTGGATGGTCAATTCTGGTGTTTTGCTTTGCCATTGGCCTATGCGGAAGGAATTCTGTGGAAGTTGTGGGTATTAGATATAACGTCAGTATACTTCGAACTATCCGTGAACGTCAACACCCCTAGCCTCTAAAAGGTTAAAATCGAGAGGCGAATCTATGAGATATGTAATTTTTATATAACAGCATATTTCGTTTATTTCATTATCATGTGGTTATCATGACAATTAACTTAGTTTGGTGACCACGTGGTTAATTCAAATGATCTCATTTTCAAGACAATGCTCTGGCCCTATCATGCCAAAATACATTTCCTCTGTAGAAATACATCAAGAATTGTGGGTAAAATTCTAACAATGAAACTATGTTCTTCGATTCGGTTTGTGCCTAAGGAAGATAGGTTCTACATACTTTTATGTTCAAGAGTCCCAGAAAGTGCCAGTATCGTTACGACAAGAAACAGAGTAATTTCTGATAAGCTTTATCTCGATACCAATCTGCATTGGGTGAACTGGCTATGTTTTACGTGGCTAATTAATTCATATTTCTGTATTTGCGTCTCAATATCCCACGAGAAATATCGGGTTCACTTTGCCCTGAAAAACTGCAACAGTGTCCCGCTACTGCTGCAACGGTCCCACTATACCAACATAAGTGACAATTGTTCGCATATCTCTCCTTCTGTTTGTTATGTAATTCGTAAAAGTAGTCTAAATATTTCCATGAAGTTATGCCTTGTTCCGCTGTATGGTTTAGCAGTCACCGGTAGGTCTGAAGCAGTTCCACATATTTTTTTTTTGGTTACAACTTGATGCCACACCGTATTTTTAGTACAAGTATGGAGTTTTCAGCATGTGATATCGGTAGCCCAAATTCACAGGCCGACCATAGATATCAGGTGTGCGTCGGCAGGGGATCGAACCCCGGACCATGTGCATGGTCGGCGAGAGTCCTAACCACTGTGCCACCGACGCACACATAATACATACAGTTGCTTGAAATCGTTTATCATGATCCCGAAAGTTTTATTATATTTGGCGAATAAAGAAGCTTTTTTGGTACCAGTCCTCCATGTAGTCTACGGTCTCCATTGTGTCTTCTATGTCGTTTCTTCAGTTCTTACAAATTCATTGCTCCTATGTTGGGTGCTACCGAAAGGATTTTTCAGTTAGAATATTGTCTTCAACGGGAATATTCAGTAGCGGAGGAATGACTCTGATGGCGATGATGAGGAACTGAGGTCCATGTGATATGACGTGGAAAACATGAGAAGAAGCAGAACTCGGAGAACATGTGTAGACGGAGATTTTAATGCAATACATGTATTTCGCCACGTTTATACTTCGATTTCCCAATAGGCAATTCCCCTACCAAATACTGACCTACTCTACCGTTTGGTGTCATTTTCTACCACTTAATGAAAATCCTATGCGCTGTAGTTATCCAGGGAGGAGGCACATGGTGTTTCTTGTGTGGTTTTCAATCCGTTGACGAGTATACAGGATCCAGTGATGAAGATAGTCGTGCCACGAGTACTACTGAGAGGTAGGGTGAAAGCAGCCTACGACAGAGTGGAGAGTGCAGGTAAGGAGGAGTCAATGAAGCCTCTGGTAGAACAGGTGGTGGTAGACCGATAGTGCAGCTGAACGCTCCGCAGCAATTTCGTGCCACCACGGTGGGAACAGACAACTCACTGGTTTTAGCACTGAAGGTGTTGAGTCTGCTTTATCTCTCAATTCCTACGCCAGATACTAAGCCTGAGGTGCAGTTGTTGGTATCCCAGTTTATTGAGTCCTCCAGGCAACATTTCTCAGAGGCTAAAACGGATTAACATCACAACTCATAGAAACTATTGAACTCGGGGAGTTAACCAGACAGCCATTGAGCACAGCGTCAGTGCGTGTGTATTGACATCTCAAGCATTAGGCTAACAAGTGTTAAAAGTCTCAGATAAGTTATCCTGCATTTTTCACTTTGGGCATCGCAAAGCAACCTTTGTAGTCTCTGTTATGCCTCAGTTACTGCGAACAATCTTTAAGGCTGATTTTTTGCGAGAAGTGCAGTGGTTTACATGAGGAGGCGGACTGAGACGACAAACTGTAGACCAATCATCATGCATGGCAATAGTGAGATAACACCGAATATATCAATGTTGGAGAATACGAGCATCGATTCGCTGATAACCAAGTCCCTTATGGGTACTGAAATAATGTGAGGCATGAAGTCCCAGTGACAGATCGGGAAATGTCAATATTTAGGACTCGACGAGTTCCATGTCATTTAAGAGATGTGACCTAAGTTCAGGTGATATCAGAGGATGACATTATTGAAGGAGCTGATGACCCATTCAACTCTCCAGAGTTGTCAATGAAGGAATCCAATGGAAAGTACGGATTTCACTTTGGTTTCCGAGATATACCATACCAGCGGCTGTACAGACGCTGGAGGCACATGGAAGGTGGACTTCTTTACAGTTAAATACCTCCAATCAGGATATTGGCTGGTACCGACAAAACCAGGTGACAAACAAAACAGCGTTCATCATGAGTCAGAAATGGTGTCGGCTTAAAATATGTAGTTTCGACTGGCAGGTGTGCCTCTCGCATTCAAATAACCAATAACATTGGTGCCTAGAAACCCGAAGAATATGGGAGTGCACGGTGATGACCTGGTCACAGAAAGAAAGAGAGAAAGTGGTCGTGTGTGACATGCAGCAGCCGTTTGAAGAAACTCAGAGGATTGAAATACTCACTGACCACACAGAGTTTCAGATGGCTGTGAAGAAATGAAGTGGGAAACGGTGGGGAAATCTCGGTGATAAAGATCGTCGCAGCTGTGAATTTTTAGAGAAAACCACGACAGCTCCAGTGGAGACCGGCCCATTTATAGTCAGTTAGTGGAAAACTTTAACGAAGTAGCAGCTCTCCTGTACAAATCATTAGGTGACTCAAAGTTGCTTTCCCTGGGAAACTTGCAGTGGATATTTTAACGCACTAAACAGCTTTTGGACTGCCACTGAATGACTTTAGAACTACTTGTATCTGGGAAGGATTTCATAGTGTCTACATGTAATAATGTCTGATGAAGAGGTGCAGTACTAAGGCAGAGTGAAATTGTTGAGTATACCAGTCATGTCGTGTTACACACGGGACGAAAGTATTCAGCGGTTGAGGGAGAACGCGTAGCAGTAGTGTTGGCGTTTGATAAACAGAGGCCTTACATGGCCAACGGCTCCACTTCGAACTTAATTGCAAGTTCCTACATTGGCTGGGGACACCAAAAACCCACAGGGTGGATGATGTGCTTGCGTAGGTACTATTTCACGAATCTTACACGCTCTGAAAAAAGAAGATTTGATGACAAATGTTTTTCCTTGACCGAAAGACGAAGCTGGACTATCTGAGATCGCGTACGTGGTATATGCATTGGAACAACATCAATCAGGAGCTGGATCCCACTCTGAATGATGTGATACAGGGTATTATAACGGAGTGGAAGTAAATCCACCTTTAGTAAATGGACCTCCAACTATGCTACTCAGAGAGAAAAATGGCTTAAGACTGAACGCTTATGGAATTCTGAATCCGTGAAAGAAAAAATGAAGTTGGATGGCGGTAATACCTCAGTTGCTAGGCCGTGAAACGATACAAGAATGTAATCAGCAAGCGTACACAGGCATAACCAGAACAGCTGACCACTTGAGACAGAGTTTCTATTGGCTAGGCATGGGAGATGTTACAAAATATGTATCGGGATGCCCAGTGTTAGGTGATGAAAAAGGGTTGGTGTATAGGACACTCTGTGAAGCTGACTATAGCTAAGGCATCAGGCAGCTTGTGACTTTGGATGTGACGGGACTCTTTCTGCCAGTATCCAGTATCAAACAGCACTTACTGGTCATGACACGACACGCTACATTATAAGTGGACGCCGTCACGATCCCTGACCAAGACCGAAAGCTCCAAATGACTTAGCGATTCGGTACATCATTGCAGACCACCGTGCAACATAGACGACATTGGCAGATCAGGATCCTTGTTTTGAATGTGAGGAATCCACAAACCCCCGCAGCACCTAGGTATGAAGAAGATTAGAACCGTATCATATCTTTCACAAACCAGTGGTTCGACAGAAGGGAATAACCATTCACTGAAGAAATGTCTGGCCTTATAGAGAGGTTACTAAGGAGACATTGGTTTTACTATCTAATAGTGCTTCTAGCCAGGAAACAACAGAGAAGTTACTGTTTCAGTTGGTGTATGGTGGAAAACCACGAATACCAACACACAGTAAGACCTTGCCGCATCACCAAATGTGCGGCAGGGAGAGGAGTGAAACGAGACGAAAAGAAGCAACCAGAAATGAGAAGGACAAAAAGATTTGCTCCATGAAATTCGGACAGAGAGAAAACGACAAATGCGTGACGTTCGAAGTCACAGACCGAAAAAAGTGTACATGAAGAAGCTATCTGGGTAGATGCAAACCAGGCTCACAGAGGATCCTTTTCAAAATGGGAAGAACCATGCACTGGCGGCGGTCCTATTCAAACCAACAGGAGAGAAAGCACACAGAAACAATATGTGGGCCCAGAAAAATGTGATTGGATCTGCCTTGGTGGACTCACAGACTTCATTTGATTAACGCTTCAATCGCTGACCCAGATTTCAGTGTCGCCGACTAAGGACTCAGGTACTCTAGTGACCTGGCATTTTCTGAGCAGGTCGGGGATGCCCTCAGGATCCATACCCAGAATCTTTTATAGCCATGTAGCCAAACTCATGCCGCACAAACCATGCGTGAGAACACTGTTGGAATACTGCGCGTTTGTTTCTAGCAGCACTCGTCTATGTGACAAGCTGAAAGCTGAAAACGTCCAACGACGATTCCCATCCGAACCACTTGGATGTGATTCTGAGAAAGACTACATTTCAAGGTGTGTATCTCTGGATCTAGACCCTTTTG